GGATCTCAGGCCTCTCTCTTCCCTCCCGCTCTCCGAGGAAGCAGGTCCGCCCTCCTGCCCAGGCCAGCTTCCCCGTGGGCGACCCCCCAACGCGCACTCCCACACCTCTCCGCCGGCGCCGCTCCCCCTTCTGGCATCACTCATTTGTCCCCATGACCCTTCCCTTCAGCATCTGGACATGCTCAAGCTCCTGTGCTGTCCTTTAAGTCCCCCCCACAGTTCACAGGAGGGAAAACAGGATGGCTTTTACATACGGCGATTCTCAAGTCAACTCCGTCAAAGAAATACAAAATAATATTATGAATTCTCAGGGTTTTTTCCACTTAGCTGGGCAAAGGTCCGAAGGCTCAAGAAGGCCCGCATTAGTGAACAGATGGAACTGGCTTTGCAGCCTTGCTGGCAGATCCAGAGCACGAAAGCACGTTTGGAGGACAATTTGACAATCTTTCTAAGTTAAAAATGCACATACCGCCCTGGCCGGTTTGGCTCAGTGGATAGAGCATCGATCGGCCTGTGGACTCGAGGGTCTCTGGTTCAATTCCCAGTCAAGGGCACATGCCCGGGTTGCAGGCTCGATCCCCAGTAGGGGGCATGCAGGAGGCAGCCGATCAATGATTCTCATCATTGATGTGTCTCTCTCTCCCTCTCCCTTCCTCTCTGAAATCAATAAAAATATATTTAATTTTAAAAAGGCACATACCCATGTGTCAGAGTTCTCACAGCGCTTTATTCATAACAGCCCCAGGTTGGAAACAATCCTGATGGCCATCAAGAGAAGAACAGGCCGGTCCACTGTGTGTTCTATGTGTGTTCTTCAGCAACAAGAACAAATAAATCCCAACCCAATGCAACTCTATGCCAGACCCAACAGAGAAGGCGCCATGTGCTTCTCTTTGCACAAGTGTCGCATGTGCCGGCGGAGTCTACGGCGTGAGGAGCCGTGATGAGGCTATCCTGGAACGGGTCGTGAAGGGGCTCGGACCCCGCTGATATTCTGTTTCTCCATCTGGGGGCTGGCGGCAAGGGGTTTGCCTGTGAAAATTCACCGAGTGTGCACTTTCTTGTAGCTAGCCTGAACTTCAATTAAAAGTTACCAAAAACCAAAAAATTAAGAAAAGAAATACAAGTGCAGGTGACCCAGCAATTCCAATAGGAAGTGGCGCTGTAGTTACTCTCACATGTGGACAAATGATGCGTCGACACTTTGGCCTGGCAAGCTGGAAACAACCTCAGCCCCGGCCAGGTAAGCAGGCGAGTGAACCCCTGCATGCATCCACCTAATGAAACATCATGTAACCGTTACAGAGCATCAGGCTGACTTCTGTGTCCTGATGGGTAACGGCGCCACGCTCACTGTTACATATAAGTCAGGGAGCGAGGCTCAGAAGGTGCACAGACGGCTACCGTGTGTCACAGCATGCTTGTGCGTGCGGGAGCGAGGCTCAGAAGGTGCACAGACGGCTACCGTGTCACAGTATGTTTGCACACACACACGCACACACACACTCTCCCTGGAAGGACACACGAGAGAGGGTGGCATCTACTGCATACAGCAGTTACCCGTGTCCACTCTGCCTGCCCGTGCTGGCTCTGACCCCAAGTCTGTGGCGCCCGGTGCTGGCGAGGGCTCAGTGAGGTCTCTGAGTGACTGTCTTTAGTTTAAAACACGTCAATAACCCCCTGATGACAGGCGGGCCCAGAAGCCAGGGCTCGGCAGCAACCACACAGCCTGGTGTGTGCGCGCGTGTGTGTGCGTGCAGAAAGGCTTCATGGAAAAGTGGTACCTGGGTAGATGTGGGGGAGAACGGACGACCGACCAGCGTGAGTGAAGACCTGGCTGTGTGTCTGTCTGTCTGGAACATGGGCTGGACGTGGGAAGAGGGCCTTACGCCTGGAGAGCCCTGAGCCAGCCTGTGGCCCGAGTTGCCAGGTATTGCCGCTGTCCAGGGAGCAGAAACAGAAACTGGAGGGAGAGCTCTGGCACCAGCCTCCAGGGGCGGCAGCCTCCTGGGGGGCCAGCTTCCTGGGGGGCCGCTACCGCCTCCTGCTCTGTAGGCATGAGACCCCGCCAGCCTGGGCGTGGCCCCACTGCAGGCCTGGGGTTTGGATCCGGTCTGACTCCCAAGCCCTGGCTCTGCGGAGCAGCCCTGCTGTGGGGAGTGAGGAAAGGGTCCCGAGGAGTCGCACGGGGGCCACAGAGCGGGAAGCAGGGCTGGGTGTCCTTGCAGAAGGAACGCCACAGGCGAAGGTTCTGCTTGGAGAACTGGTTGGAAAGGATGCGGGACGCGTTGCCGTCACCAAGGCGGGCCCAGGCAGCAGGCCCAGCCCCCAGGCCCGGAGCTGCCTGCATTCCAGCTGAGGGCCTGCAGGTGGGTTGGCTACCCTCTCTACTTCCGGGAGAGGGAGATCGTCTGGCAGTGAGACGAGGGGCAGATTGTAGGTGGCGAGGCTGGAGGGAGACCTGTTGGGAGGCAATGGCGATAATTCAGGTGAGAGGGGACGGTAGCCCGATGAAGGCAGGAGTGGGCCCCAGAGGGAAGTTAATAGTTGGAGAGATATTTAGGAAGAAGAAGGGCATGGAATGATTGGCAGAAGCCGCAGGTGCAGGAGAGGGAGGAGTCAAAGATGACCTTTGGATTTTGGGGTAGCTGGAGGTGAGAAATCCAGGTTTGGATACAACATGAGTTCAGACGCAAGGACACTGCATTAGAGGTGTCTGCAGGAGAGCCCCGTGGGGGGCCCAGTAGGGGCTCCCCTTTATTCGCTTATCCAACCAATAGTTACTGTTGCCTGCAGTGAGCCAGGCGTGGGGGGCGGGGCGGGGGGTTTGCAGTGAATTAAACAAACTCCCTAACCTTGGAGGATTAATTGCGGAGCCAATTAACAACTAACTAAAGAAACAGCGTTACGGGTCATCAAAGGTGCTGTGAGGACCCGAGGAATAGCGGTCACCCTCCTCAACCAGAGCAGGCCCGTGAGAGACAAGCGGGGGGCCGAGTCCTGAGCCCCACCTGTTCCTTCTCCGCATGAGGGGCAGAGGTGCCCTGGGTCTCTCTCTCACTCAGGCCTGACCGCCTCCCAGAGGGGGTGCTACTGACACTGGGTCTGGGAAGAATGGGCGGTTTCACCAGGCATCTTTCAGGTGGTTACCTGTCTTGGCTTCTCCTGACCTCACTTAAGAGTGGAAACTGTGCCCGGCCAGTGTGGCTCAGTGGTTGAGCGTGGACCTATGAACCAGGAGGTCACAGTTCAGTTCCCACGCAGGGCACAGGCCCGGGTTGCGGGCTCCATCCCCAGTAGGGGCCGTGCAGGAGGCAGCTGATCCATGATTCTCTCTCATCACTGATGTCTCCATCTCTCTCTCCCTCTCCCTTCTTCTCGGAAATCAGCAAGAAAATATCTTAGAGTGGAAACTGCGGCCCAAAGCTGCCCGGTGAGGGGTGTCAGACACAGACACAGGCCTGGGAACGGGCTCCGGGCGCTGCAGGAAGCAGCAGATGCAGGCGGTCGGCTGGAGCCAGCCAGCTTCCAAAGCTCTTCCTGGTCCGTGATGCACCCTCAGGGCCAATCGCCGATGCAGAAAAACGAAAAACAAGCCAGCAGTGCCGGGCTGAGGCCTCCAGGGGCACTGATTCAATTCGCGGGGCGGCGGGCGGCGGCCCCTTTAAACGCGGTCCCCTCCCGAGTCAC